AAAAAGTTTCGGAGGAACGTATTACCTCCGTCTTCAGAGTCGACGTTTAAGAATCATTTCTGGAAAGAAAATTCTCTTTGCAGACTAGAAGTAGACGGAGACATCATATCGAAACGAGTCTTAGAAAAGTACAGAGTTACGACGGGACTGTACAGATTCATCTGACCGACGACAGGGACCAGTGGCGGGCCCTTGCGTGCAGGACAATGAACCTCTACGTTTTGTAAAAGGTGGGAGATTTCTTGATTAGGAGACTGACTGTCAGCTTCTGAATATTTCTTGAATCTAATAACGGAGGAAGTAATATTTTACGTGGAAAGACGTACGCCAGATCCCATATCTGAGGCGGAAGGATACATTCAACAAAATAACTGATAAACAATGGTTAAAGCCGAGGCAGGATGACAAACCAAACGAGACAGGGGTGTAACTCCCGCGACATCGCAACACAGACACAGAGAAAATGATACAAACATCGATATATCCATCGAGGAACAAAACAGAAATGAAGGAAATTGCGTGTTATGAAGAGAAGATTTTGTCAAGGACATGTTTAAAGCGAATACAGATTATGGGACAGAAAACTGAAGAGATTATGCACGTACTGATAACAACGATGCGATATTAATAGACACTAATCCCAACACTAATACCTGAAAAAGAAGTGACGTGATCCATCAATTAATTAACAGGAAGGCGATATCTGGAGAAACCCATTTTCGTGCTGCAATCTGGGCTCAAAAATGATAAAACTGCTTGAGGCTGCAGGTGGATCGGGCGCCCACTCACAAAGCAGAGAATTCAATCGGCTGGCTGACTCTTGGTAGACGCCGTTCCACGAGAGATCAAACGACAAAAATAACCCTGAATACAAACATCGCCACAACAGAGTTCAGTCTTTCAAATTATAAGTGACCAAGAATGATTTGAGGTTCTCACAGTGTCTATTCATTTATAGTTCATTTAACGACACTTTTTCAGCAGCTCAGAATGAGAGTGAATACTGAATGGGAAAGGATGTGGAAGGAAGTGGTCGTGGCATAATTTAAGGCACTATCCCGGCATTTTCCTGGAGGGACAAAGGAAAATAGGTTAGCCGGTCTCTTGGCCGAGATTTAAACCTATTGTCGTTGTTCGATTACACCAATACGAGACGATTACTTTATTCGAAAAAATCTTATATTTGTTACAGAAGAGTGCGATGGGGTGTGATGTTAGAATGCATGAACCTTGCGCAGTTCTTTAAAGGAACACGTCATCCAGGGTGCAGGATTTGAGGTTCTCACGGCGACGAGCATGAAGATGGCCACCTTTGTTGCCCAGTAAGTTCTTGAAGGACAGCCGAAAAGGGTACCGTCGTGCTTACGGGTATCGAATTAAACACATTCTACCGCCTCTGAAGCACTAAATTGCACTCTAGCGTAAACAGACGCCACGTGCCAGTTGTTTTACACGAAGAATAATTGGCGTACTGCCCGGTGAGTGACGCCTCGCATCGAAACACCCGTTCCCGCAAGCAACGAGGAAGTTCATTACATGGACATGTTAGGAACTTGTTCGATGCAAATAACATTTCGTAATCATAATGAAACAGAGTCGAGTACCAAATTCGGTTTAACTGGACGTCCTCCTTCACAGAAAGATATAAATTCTTTACGGCATTGAGTCTTATCAAGCCGATTAATTTCGTAAAGTGTAATTTTCTGGCTACGTGCATGTTCGTTCATTAAACTTTTATCAAACAAATCCATCAGAAAATTGGTTCATCGTCGATTATTTATTAACGTACCCCCACGTCATCTCCCCAGATTTCAGCCGTTACAATTTCTACCTGAACAATTTCCCTCTGCTACGGCTTGTTAAAAAGCCAGCATATCATTTCGAACTAGAACCCACTGGGAACCCTTTCCAATTTGCGAGCCTACATTAATTAAACATCAGCGTGAAGATTCACAGTGCGACTTTCACAGCAATGGCTCGACCAAACGAGGGTTTGAGGGAGAAGCCACTTTCTGTCGGTCGATATAACAGATGACGCCCAGGCCCGGGGCTACTGAGGAGACGGACGATTACGCGGAGTCTAGGTCTTCGGCCTCCAAGTCGGAGAGAGTCTGCACAGCTTCTCCTTATAAACGACCAAATTAAGAAAAATCGCTTGTGATAAACAAAAGAAAAATGCAATACGCCTCACACGAATAAGAATAAAATAAAATTACTGCTATGAATACAGTTACATTATAATGCAAAGAAAGTCTTTAAGAGAGACATGGAAACTCCTTGAAGACCTTAAGTAATTTTGGGCATGTTTTAAATAATATATCATTAGAGTCATCAAATCATGAATGTTGAGATGGCCGTAGAAAGAATCAGTACAATCACAGCGGTGATGTAAAAGTGGATTTTAGGGTGTAAGAGATTTCTCCGGCTTAGTTTCGGGGCCAGTGGAGGGCTTATGTAAACACGACAATACAGTTCCTGGTTCCATAAAAGCCGCCGAATTTACGTAACATACGAGACTAGTTACTTTACAGGGACCTCTCGATATGCACAAAGTTACACCAAATACTCTGTTTTATTACAGCCACCTACACCATCGACAGGAACACGCGAAAATTAACACCGATATGTGATCTTTATATTAACAGAACACGAATAGTCGTCTGAGATTTGAAGTTTTGACGACGGCGAAGACGCTGATTGTAGGGTCGTGTGACGTGACGCCTTGTATTCTTGTAGGAGTTTACCGACGCTTCGACTGGAAATATCGTCTCCATCTGTAGAGAGATATTTTGTTCGTAAACGAGGAAGAAACTGATCTCATTGTTGGAAACACGTAACAAGGATAACTAACTAACAAGGAACATAAGGCTGTTACATATTTCTGTACGAAGATCAGTTTGGAAAGGAGAAGGGCAGTTCATCTGACAAATAAGCCTTTGAAGACTCCATGCCTAATTTTCGCAAGATAAAACGGCAAGTTATAGTTACAGGTAGTTTATGAACATATAAGAAAAAAAGCAGAACAATACAATCCCACTACAAATGTTCCTGTCAGAATTAAATACAAAATAAGGATAAGAGACAGCCTAAGCTAGAAGCCAGTCCTCAGACGTTTAATTAAAATTCAGATACTCAGGCATCTTAAAACGTTATCTTCATTCAGGAAATAAAGTTTCTAAAATGAAGCCCGACGGAAATGAACAAGAGTATTAAATAAAGTCTAATCGAACATGAAGTAATATAAAGGAGTTTCGTCAAGAACTCATGAAGTTTACTTCCCTCTTGCACGGACTTAACAAACGTACGAATCCTGCGTTAAGAATGTCGTGAATGTCAGTCAGACTTGTTAGTGTCGTCCTCAAGTACTTGAATTTTGTCGCATTTTCGAACGATTCATTCGCTGTCCTGAATTCTGATGCCGATGCATTTATTTCTAGACCAACATCCCTTCTAGCCCTTAAGGGTGTTTCTGTGTTTGCTTTTACAATATTTATATTGTAGCCCAGCAGATTAATGTCATCAGCATAGACCAAAGGTTGACGTCTCCCATTCAATTAGAAATCGCCCTGATTTTCTATCTTTCCTGGTGGCATTTTCCAAGGCAAAATTGAAAAGCAACGGTGATGGAGCATCTCCGTGTTTCGGGAAATTCTGAATAGGAAATGTATCAGACAAATGTTTACCTACACGAATGTTGCTAGAGGTTTTACTTAAACATGCTTTAATTAGCCTGACTAGTTTCTTAGGTACGCCAAATTCAAGCAAAACATTATAAGCAGCATTTATTTCAACTGAGTCGTAGACTTTCTTGAAGTCTGTAAATAGTTGATGGAGTGTCCCATTGTACTCCCACTTTTTCTCTAGAATCTGACGAATGTAGAAAATCTATTAGGACGGAACCTACGCCGATATTTCCCAATAATTTCATTCGCATATGGAGTGAGCCTTGTCAGAAGAATGTTGGATAAAATTTTGTACGCAGATTATAAGACAGAGATTCCTCGATAATTATTACAGTCTTATAACCCTTCTTACGAATTGGTACAATAATCAATTCCTTCCACTGCTGTGGCTTTCCCCCCTCATTCCATGCTCTATTGGCTTCCAAACTGTCATCTAAAGCCGCAAATGTGTTGGAGATTTCTATCTGGTACTTTCCCTTAACTTCTACGTCATATTTTGTTTTTCAAACCAGAGTTTTCTAAATCAATTACTTACTGAAAGTCCCTCCCTTAATTCTGTCACGACCAGGTAACGGTCGGTATTGCAGTCATCATCTCCGGAAGATCGGACATCTAATTTACCGGAGTCTCGTCTTTCGTCAGTTAAAACATGGCGTGTCTGTCTATGTGCGACAACAACAGGGGAAGACCAAGTGTGTCAAGGCGAGGGGATGTCGTGCTTTTGACGATTAGGTTTTTCGAAGTTGCAAAATTTACTACTCTGACCCCGTTATCATCACTAACTTCATGCAGACTTTCCTTACCAAAAATCGCACATTCGCATTGAAATCTCCTAGCAAAATTTTCACGTGATGCCTGTTCTAGATCTCCGTAAAAGTCATCCCTTGTGCCGCCATCTTTATCCTCAGTCGGGGCATGCGCATTAATTACAATGACGTCACATCCTGTCACTGACAAACTCCACTCTTTTACCTCGAGGTATATTTGGATAGTAAATTACGAGCAGCCTCTCAACATGACTCTGTACCTTGTCGCAAAACTGGTTTGTCCTACTGTTATCTGAAATGCCTTGATTAAGAAAAGAGACGGCCTTTCATTCCATTTGGAATCTTACAGATATGATTGATCATTACCTCAGATAATAAATAGAGTTATCAGTAATCCGAAATAAAACGCACACGTGGTTAAATACTGCGCTTACTTTAATCAGCCTGCTAGCTCGATACATTATGATTTACTGATTAGACTCCCAAGGACTTATCACAGAACAATGCACGTTTTATCTCGAGTGGCTCTGGTGTACGGTGGCTAAATCGCGGTCATAAATTGCACCGACGTTCTGTCCTGCGTAGTCCTTGGCCAACGATGAAGACGCTCGTCGCATTTGCTGTTCTCACGACCCTCGGAGTCTTGGTAAGACATCAGATCGTCTGTCGCCCAGTTTCAGGCTAAAGCATCAACACTCTGGTAGCACAGCTTTCATTTTCTGGGCCTGAAAAGAGTCTAATTCAAAGCTGACGTAGATGCTCAGTGGTTCGCTCCCCTGGACGTTAGGTGGTCAGATTTCGGTCCGGAGACCGGCTACAATAACTGCTTTTCGTGGGTTTCCTCAGGTCCTCCACAAAGTTGCCTTACATCAGGCCACGAACGCTTCCTTCCAAACCCTTTGCCAATTCGCTGTTATTCAACGCCACACAGTCTGAAACTTTTGCGATGTTGTGCCTTGTAGCGCGGTAGAAATTTACCGACGTTTCAGAAGTAGTTGCTCCCTGATGAAGGACGCAGTAAGGACCTCCGAAAAGTCGGCAAACTTCTACCAGACTGCACTCGCGCAACACCCCACAAGACAACCATTTTATACTGTCCTTGTCCTTACATTTTCCCATCAGTACCTTTCGGAGTTTATAAATTATGACGCAGTTTCTGTACCTTCTCTGCTCTCCTCACCATGCTCTTTACAAAAATGGTCTGCATCTGAGGGAGGTCTGAGGTTCTCTAAGCGCTGACGATGTGGATTGTAAAGTTACTTGGACTTCTGGGTAGATCTTCAGGGTTGAAGAATGTGACAGCAAGGTTCTCTGAAACGATTACGCCTACATAAAAGTCCAGACTGAACTACAACCCAGGAGTCCAACATCGCCTCTCCGCGTTCTTTCTTTCCGTAACAGTCGTTCGAATGTTCGGCCTAACAAGCAAACAACGCGGATCTCATGACTGTAATGAAAAAAAAGTCAGGAACTGTAAAACTCTTGGTCGCGTTGTTTTGACAGGCACAGCCGAGCCTCAGAGACTTGAAGCCTCGTCGTATTGGCGTACCCGTACACCCGAGCTACACGCAACAGGAATGGCGAACCATCATGGCGGCACAACAGCGAAGCCCGGAAACTTACCCTGGTTTCAAAAGGGGCACCAAACCACAACCAGGTGAAAATCTTTCGATCAATACGCTCACGAAGCAGAACGCATAGATAATATATCTAAATACATGCTGTACCTAATATTTTAAAAACCGCGATAACGTGTATCGGCATCTAACAGCAAATTTTCGTTGCCCAGAATTTGCAGGAAAAGTAAATGTACCAGAAAGTGGTAAGCGTATAACCAATGGTCTTACTGCCAGCCGTGGTCAGTTTCCATGGCAAGTTGGCCTCATCATTGATGGTGCCTGGTTCTGCGGTGGGTCTGTCATCTCGAACGAGTGGGTCCTCACAGCTGCGCACTGCGGGTGAGTACAAATCGAAATACTTGTCACAACTCTTCCTCCATTCTAGAAAACTATGACAACGAGCGCAGGCCACAATAAGACAAGCCCCCACCATTTCAATTTTCAGTAAATCTAATGTGATTTTTAAAATGCTTCGGATTTCCTCGGACGCAATAAACATTATGTGTTTTGTTAAAGCCTCACATAACATGTCTGAGTAAGATACAGTATTTATCATAAAATACAACTTTACCAATAAAAGTTTATTTACATCTTATTAGACAGTAGCTCTCTTACTTCAAGAAACATTAGTCCAATGTCTGTGTTAATTAACGTTTAACACATTTCATAATGATTAACAGAAAACTGTGTGGCAGTACGTCATAGAAATGCACAACCTTTCTAAACAAAAAAAAACAAAAAATTGTATATGTGGAAATTATAAACTAAATTAAAGAAATGTTGAATAAATTTTAGCTTAAAATAATCTCGCCATGGAATTTCTGAAGGGCTGTAGTGCATTGCGCCTTTGACGTTGCACTGTATTGAGCATCTGAAGACTTTAATCACACGAATCAGACAGCAAATGGAGAAAGCTTGCTCAGTAGGCGGTGGACTGAATTGAATTACCACAGTTGCCTTATTACAGAGGGAATAAATCCTGAGGACATTCTGTGTCATGTTTCATATTCCTACATTCAACGAAGTAAAACCTATGAGCTTTAGGATGTATGGAAAACATCATACATTGTGACGCCATCTTCCATTGCGCACTATGACGGTCATCAAACACCCTTTGGGTTCATAATGAAACACGAACTTTTATTATCTGTGTTAACTGTATTGGGAATTACAATTGGCTAAATTAGTTCCTATGGATTATTTACCATGTATTTTAAATTAAAATAAATTTTCAAAGTAACCAATCGATTAGACAAAATTGTCACAGCATTAAGCCCTCAATGTGCTCAAATTGTTTCTCCAACTTACTTGAGAAATACAGCAAATTTAAATGCATAATCACCTTCCAGTATGTTATCATATACGCAAAACACATATGGAAGAAACAAGTTTTAATGTTTTAAAATGTTTTAATGTTATGTTGTTTATTGAACAGAAACTTGGGTAGGCAAGATCTGAGGTTCTCAGGGCGGCGAGTACAAAGATGGCTGTCTTCTGGGTTGTAGGGCCGTGACTGGTAGAAGTTTGCCAGCGTTTCAGAGGTCCCTGCTGCCTCCATCATACTTATCGCTCTGACGATGGAGACAGCAAGGGCCTCTGAATCTTCGGTAAACGTCTACCAGACTACACAGTGTTACAACTCAGGACTCTGCCATATTTTGTAAAGTTTCATTAGCTGCGTTTAAATTATGATTAGCCCAATTTTAGTAATATAAAATGCATTATGGTGGCCAGTTTATAAACACGCGTGAGGAAACTATTTGCGAGATGGCTGTCTTCTGTGTTTCTGCACAGCTTGGCCTTTGAAATTTACCGACAATTCAGCTATTCGCCTCAAAACTGTGATTTATTGTTCTAGTGGAGACGTATATAGATTAACACTCGGAGCTAACCGATTAGATATCCAAGAAAGTGGCTCCATTTCAGTTCAGTCGACAGACAGCATTGTCCACGCCCAGTACAGTTCAACAAGCCTGAACAACGACATTGCTCTTGTGCGGGTCTCCATTGAATTCTCCGGTAAGTAGCGTTCTTGTGGCAGGAAGGTGTTCGCGACGCGTTCTGCTCGCAAATTCACATCAGCGGACCTGCGTCATCATGACTGATCATGGTTTACGTTTACGACCACCTAAATATTCTGTCTTCAGTGTTGAAACGCGTCCATGGTCTAAAACTCGCTGGAGAGAGGATGTCGACTTAACTCGAGGAAACAAAATTTCGATCTTGTAGCATCAGTTATATGCTCTGTGTTCAGCTAAGGGGAATTAAATATTTTCAAAATTCGGGCTGCAATGAAAATACGAAGGTAACTGAGGGCAATTTTGCGATTTCAAGCTGCCTCAGTTGTGAAGAAGTCAATTCTGATTCTCTGAGTTGAAACGCAATGAAAAAGTCTTTCAGATCAGATGATGACTTGCTGCTGAACGTGAGTTACTAAATAGGGCTAAGGTGGACTCAGTGTCATTTATTATGATTCTGCAAAATATGTAATGAACAGTCTAACATATGCACGGAATGCGCACTAGTATTGGCAGTGACAAAGAATTAAAGAACTGGAATTCAATTCACTCCACCATTTACAAAACAACACGAGTCCCCAAGATGGATTAGTATTTCGAAATTCAGATAAATGACAAAACACTTCAAATATTTCTGTAAACTTCTCAGATTTCATCACGCCAGTGAAACTGCCCCGTCGTGAGCCGAATCCACCGGACTTCGCCGGCAAAACTGCTCGAGTCAGCGGCTGGGGGAAGCCCTCTGACAGTGAGTACGAGGCCTACAATTAATTGATTAATTTATACTTCATTTAACGACGCTTGTTCAGTAGCGTCGAATGAAAGGAGCGATCGAGGCCTAATTTAAGTTACTATCCCGGAATTATTTGAGGAAAATTCTCTCGAGGCCTTCATATAAGTTTGCCAGCGCCGTAAGGATTAAAAATGCACAATCTTCGTCCGACGGATACGTCGTACTTGGAACTGGTGGCGAAGACGATCACAGGTGCCATGCGGTCAGCGGGTCATTGCCCACACACATTTTGACGCCTCTCTCGTCTTCGGAAAATTTCAAAGTCAAATTCTAGAGAATGCGCCAGGTCTTTTATGCTATGCGCACATCGTATGTGTGTTGTGTATTCAGCATAAGCAAACCCTCAAGCGCCAGGTTTAGTAGAAATTGGGTAAGCAGCAGTGGAAATAAAACGTGCGGACAGACTGACGGACGGACCTTCCCGTAATAAATCCATTTTAAGCAGATCTGAGAATAAGCCTTTCCCTCAACCGCTTCTGGTAATTGCATCAGCAATGCAGGGACCAATGGAAGACATTCGCGTTTTCCAGGTGCCTCTGGTATAACAACTGTACTGAACTACGTGGATCTGCCAGTCATCAGCAACACAGACTGCGCTGGTGTATTTGGCTCTTACATCGTGTCCAGCACCCTCTGTGTCGCAGCACCCAATGGGAAGAGCACGTGCAGCGTAAGTAACCCGGAACAAGGCCTCTTACTTCTCCGGCCATCGTTCTTCGTCTCTGATTTATGACAAACCAAGTCTTGGTTCCTTAAATCTAATAAAAGGAAAAGTGTAAGTCGACGCATGGACCCCAGTCTATAAAATAACAAATAATAGGCGCGGGGTCTTGAGAAAAACAACGGCAGGCAAGTATAGTACAAGGGGCAAAAGATCTCACACTTCGATAATCACGAAAACTGAGGACTGACCTCGCAATCTGACCCCTTCCGAAGGCCATTGCTGAGAGCAGAGTTACATGCAGAATGTCCCAAAACGTATTTACGCGCGTTCAATGAACAAAATAAGGACAGTCTAAGAAACTGATCCATTATATGTGCCAGCACTGACACTACGCAAATTAGCGAAGCTAGTGCAGGTGTTCAAAATGGCCACCGTTAGCTTCGAGGCGCAGTTGATGGCGACGGGCAAACGACCACCGAAGTTGCTGCTGTGCATACATCTTTCTGGGACATTCTGTATATCAGCATTCTTGATCATTCCTTAAACACGCCCTGAAGATAGAGGCAGGGGTATCTTTCAGCATTTACAAATCACACGACCGTAAGTTGCGTTTGTACAAACTTTCACAGCACAGATTCAGCAAGATTACAGAACACATTTTAGTGTTGAAATTGGTTGTTAGGGTATGTTTTCCTTTTTTCAACGCCCGTAGTATTTGGAGATCGACTTGCATTCTGCGTCACGTGATGCCAGAAGCACAGCAGTCAATCCAACTGACGAAATCTCTCACATTCCCCCACAGGGCGACAGTGGCGGTCCGCTGGTTATCGAGATCGACGACGCCTACACCCAGATCGGCGTCGTCTCGTTTGGGGCCGCCGCTGGCTGCGAGCTGGGATATCCTGATGGCTTCGCCAGAGTCACGAGTTTCTTGGACTGGATCGAGACGAACAGCGGCATCAAGATCGAGTCTTGAGAACTCAGCTTGGAGCAGAGAATTTTAACAGGACAAACCACCGCCCACGAGTTCACGTATTGACAATTTTTGTTTCACTATAACAAAAGTTATCAATTATCGACGACCCAATAATTTTTCTCAAAAAATACATGCACAGGGCATGCAAATATGTTAATTAAAGCTCTAAGACGAATTATTTGTTCCTTTTAATAGATTCCAAACACACTGACAAGAATAATTAATCATTGCAGTAACGAACCAAAGCCTCTTACTTCAGAATGTGACGCATACGAAACGCGTGTTTCAAATCCCATTAAGTCCAGCCACGTGACAGATGTATCGCAGTCCATTAACATGCAACGACAATGCTCATGAACACTTGAACGCTCAGTCTTATGAGACAAACCAACATCACAACACTTAGGAATTGTCGCCGATCCTGCACACTGTATTAGGTTAGGTTCCGGGTTTTATCGAAGTCCGGACACCAGCTGAGGTTTTCTTTCGGTCTGCACAAGAATCAACACTCTGTTGCCCGAGGTGCTGACAACGTCGTAAAACAAATCATAAACAAGTAAGTGTAACATTTGAGACTCGTGAACACACATTTCGGAACGTTTATTAACACACAACAACTAACTGTTTATATCCTCCATGACGAACAAACATTTCCGTACAGAATAAGCGAAGGAGGAATTCTAAATTCTTGAGCAGATCAGCTGAAAAGAAGACCGAGTATGAGTTGCATACTCGTTTATCGGTTTGTTGTCATTGGACAACTTCAGTTCCTGAGTAAAACACCGTCCTCATTTAGCAGTCGTGGCGCTGGTATCTTTAAACACCTTTTCAGGCGTAGTCTTGATAGCAGCGCAGCAACTCACGAAAAATCCCTGGTCCTTAAAAAATCTTCTTTGATTTCGTCCTAATAATAAAGTCGTAAAACTGCAGAGGGGTATAGCTCCTACTCATTCTTGACCTTGGCACTAGATGGGGTTGAGGGGTCAGCGTCAAGCCCCTGGCCTCGCTTTATCCCCGGGAGAAAGGACCTCGGGCACCCATTGGATAAGAGGCTGGGTGGGCCCCAGAACCGGTCTGGACACAGAGGCTAGAGGAAAAATCCTCTGCCCCCGTCGAGGATCGAACCTCGGTCGTCCAGTCCGTAGCCAGTCTCTGTCCTGAAGAGAAAATATAATAAGAGAGGAAAATTAGAGAAGGGAATTAATAGAACCCGCTTCCGGTGCGCTGTCCCCAACCGCCGGTTAAAAGACTTCGTGATCACGTTCAAATGCGAGTGACTGCATTGAGCGCAGTCTGAAGCCGCTCTGTGTGTCGCTAATTCCGCACGTGTAAACGACACAAAAGGGGATTTTGTGCGAGAGAGGAAACAGGCTTAAATGTGTAGTTTGCAGGGCGCAAAATGAACCGGGCTTTGAGGTGCCGTGTACAGTTTTAATGTAATAACGAGTTGATCGTTTACGAGATTAGCAGCAACACGGATTACATGCTGACATTCTGGCGTACAGCGGTTTTCTTGCTTTCAACGCTTGTCACTACTAAACGGTGGTTAGCTATGGTAGCAAACGGCTGTTGAAGGCAGGAGACTGTGTTGGCCTCCAGACCGTCAGACCTGTCACCGGCTTTGTGAGCCTTCGCTGCAGAACGTTTTCAGACCGACGACTTTTACGCATTATTTTTTCGAATCACGGTTACTGCACTGAGTATATCTGTGGTTTTATTCAGTCTCTCCGGATTAAAGTGAAGATACCAGATCTCGAAAGAATGAAATTTCGTCTTATTTTCAAAAATCTTTCATTATTTGACACATCGAATTTTATTCAGTTGATATCGCGTTGTTAAATTTTCCAAGCCCAAAACATCTACATTATCCGTCACAATTTCTACACGGATCGATAGTGTTGTACGTTGCAAATCCACAACGATTTTGCAAGACATAAACATTTCTCTAACACTAATACGATATGAAATGTCTTGAAGTGGAAGATAGTGCAATTGAAAAGCACAGAAATATGGTAATTGTTTATAGTACAAACAGCAGGCCCGTTCATCCCAGAACCGAGTCTTAAAGTTGAAATTGTCATTGGAAATTAAAACGTTAAAAATCTCCTAGTATTGATTAAATTCCAGCGGAAATAATCCAAAGTCTCGGTGGGCTGTGAGGATGGAAAATGGATGGAGTTGGCTCAGGATCGTGTCCGGTGGCGGGCTTTTGTGTCGTTGGTGTTGGACCTGCGGTTTCTGCTACCAGGGAGTTAGTTAGTTAGTTAGTTAGTTAGTTAGTTAGTATGTGGCTAATTTACGTAAACTAAGAACAATGTCAGATGACACTGTCACATTGCGTTGACATATTGAAGCGCCAATAATATAATAATGAACGCGATAATACAGAAAATATAAACTGCAATCAGAACGTGAATGGACTTGTTTCCAAGTGTCCACCCTTCTTCCGGAAGTAGCAAACCTCGGCTACCGAAACTAGTCGAAGCAGCTGCCCGTCTTAAATCTCTCGGCTACAATAAAACTGCTTCATATTTGTCTGCTTCCACAGTTTGCACGAGTGCGTAACTGAACTCCCGAGGGCTTAATAAAACACTTCTTTGCATTTAAATTACTTTGTGGCACGCTTACTTCCGGATGGACTGAGCTGTCTGCTCTGTACTTTTAAACAGTGATACGGGGGCCCACGGGCTCACCGCAAATCTCCACCTGACGCACCGTCAAAACGTGACTCAGAAAGCAGTTAGTTCAAACTTTACTTATCTGTTTGTTTGTTTAATGACGCTCTGTAAACTGCAGAGGCTATCTAAGCGCTATGGACGACTGAAAAAGACGGATGTTTGTTAGCTTAGGAAATATATTACTAGCTTGACTTACTTACGTAAGGAAACAAGGAGAAGAAGGAAACAGTCCTTGCAGATTTTGTTCACTGACACAAAATGCGCCTTCAATGCCGGAGGTGGACGACCTGAAACGTCAGTTTCGTTGCGACTTCCAAGCTGAGAATCGAAATCACGACTCCTAGAACCGAAACTGCTTTAATAAATGACGGAGTAATGGAGGTAACTATTATTCTCTTTGGCTCTGCAAACAACAGCAAAGCTTGTGTGTCCACAGCGACCTTCGATGTCGTAACGTCGTCGGTGTCCACGCGACGCACGAGAGCTCGAAAGAGCGATCTCAAGTCGCGAGCCAAGTTTTGTAATTATCCGCTGGCAAGAGTCCATGCGGCGATTCCTGCAGACAGACGGAACCGAACTTTGAATGTTCTTCGTGGAAATTTCTGTTGTGTCTTTTAGCGGAAATCCTGGGGCACCGGGCGGAGACATTGGGAGCTCCGAGAGTGGCTACAAGCTGCTGGCTGCAAAATTTATTGCACACTGAAAGCAGGAACGCAGGAACGCGACCCGGTGGAAAATTTCTGTACCTCCGGTTAAGAAAGCGTATTACCTGTCGACGTCCCACAGTCTTTGATCTCCACACCATGGACCGCGAATTCGCTGTCATTACAACGGACGTTTCAGACTTCTCTTTTATTTACTTATATCCCTGCATGGTGTACAACATGAAATTTTTATTTTATCTTTTTTATTTCGAGGAGTGGTCATTCTTTGTGGGACATTCTGTATAATACAACACAGACAGAGTAAGGAATATGAGAGTGGCGTATGAACATTTTCGGGTCTAATGTTGCATCAGAATTAAAAACATTCTGAATCCTATTTTATTCTGTGTGAAATAAAGACAAACCGGTTAATGAGACGAGCGAATTACAATTTCTATCTCTTCCTTAAAAATCACGTGATGTCAATCAGCTTCAGCGGTTCCTACCAGAGCAACTTCGTTGCAATGTGCATGGACTTTGTGCTGACTACGGAATTCTGAGTCTCGTACGTCAGAAGCTGGCGCTGTGGAATTACATCTCTCTCTTTACGGACACGCGAAAATTTATTTTACTACACGTTACACGGCATAAAGTACAGATTTACTATAAGTAGACAGAAACGTGACGTATTAATATGTATAAGATGCAATAAATTATTTAATCAACGTACGTGGCAGGTTGGCTTAGCGGTAACACTACAGATAATTATCCGAGATATGACTTGGTTTGAAGGAATGAATAGTCGATGAATTACAACGAATGAATAAATGGGCTTTCGTCGAGGAAAAGTCGAAATCAAAAAGTTCTACACAGGATTTGTCACTTATTAGCGTAGGACCTCTTTTCTTTTGATATGAAACGCCGTAAACTTCCGTAGATAACGAAATATCTTGTTCCGTATTGTTTCACGGGCAAGAAGCACTTACGATGTGGAGCCTGGCACTTCGGCAATTCAAAAGGACAGAGAGAGAGCTTACTCTCCAAACTTAGACGAACTCGTCCCCCCATCCTTCATACAGAGGATGCTCCAGACTTCCGTTAGTTCATCTCGGATCAAGTTTAAGTAAGGAGATTAATCGCAACTCGGCGAAAGACGAATGGTTTACGTATCTCTGCAGCCGTGGTCCATTGCCTTGCTAGTCCACGTACAGGGACCAGCGAACCAAGACGAATTTCATTTCGGCCTATTCACTGATGCTGCAGAACAAACACCTGTTTGTTTCCCCCGAGTTTCTATCAAAATGAATTCCCCTTTGTCTGGGTTATATTAAACGCGGCGCAGATATTTAAAAACAATTAGCGAAAGTTAGGTTAACAACCCGTCTACACAATTCTCGATTACAGTGTCGATTTTTATTCAGATCCACCACATGTTTCGACCTTAACTTGTCATCTTCAGGTGATTTTCATTAATTTTTTCGAAACTAATTGATACGGCTGCTAACTTTCTGTTGCGGACTCCACCACTTTAACAGCTTATAAACGTGAGATGAATTTTAAACTAAACCACGATTGTTCTGACACTGCAGCTGGTTAATAATTAGAATAATATACAGGGTGATACAAAAAGTAAATAACTTTACCCCTGAAATGAACATCAATGCGGCACAGTGAGTAAAAATGACAAATTATTCACATGGAAACACTGTGCACTCCAATAAACAGTGCATTTTTCCACAGTTTATAATCACCCTGAATGTTGCCAGGAGCTGAAATTCGTTTGTAAAAAAATCTCTAAATCCTTCGGAACCTCACATTTTCCAGTGCCCGACCTCCGTTCCGTCCGCCTCAAA